ATAATAATAATAAACATATCTGCATAAGAATGCAGAATCTTCATATGCAGATATGTTTGTATAGATATACATACAGATATATGCCCCAAAACATTGGCCGTTGTCCCCAGAGGATAAATCATGTCCAGACAATAGCTGATGGGTTCTGAGATTATTGAGATGTAAACTGTTTGGGTAATTACATTTATTATGTAACAAATCTCACAATAAGGTACTAGTTCATAATATATTTCAAGCCAAAACATTAGCTGCAAATGAGTGTGGTGTAATTATTTATTATTTTTACATACAATGACAGTAGTGCTGTACCGTATCTTTTCTTTTCCTGCTTCAGCCTGATGTAGCGCATTAGCTGAGTTCAGCTGATATGATAAACGTACAATTGATTTTTCCATTACAGAAAAGTTACAAAACTGTTTGCTGACAATTATCGGCCAAAATCGGTATTGGCATGTCAGACTTAAGGAAGTTGTTGTACTTTACCTACAAAAAAAAAAAATCAATCCTAACAAAAGGCTATGGACTTTACAATAGACAAAAGACTTAAAACTGAAAATTAAAAAAAAAAAAAAAAACACTCGCAACCCCCACCCTGATTTCCCATCAGCCCCTGGTGCCCATTCGGCTGTGCCCCGAGCAAAGCGCAGCGTTTTGATTTTTCTCTCAAGAGTGTGAGCCCTCGGACTTTCCCTATGTCAGCGTCAAAGAATCGGCTTTTTTTTAGTTCGTCTTTGGGTACTTACACAAGCTGCTGGTGGCTGTGCGTCTATTATCGGACACGACTTCATTTTTTCACCCTCCCTCTGCACAGTCGCACACACACTACCTACAGATGTGCTGTGCGTCCGATAATAAGGGATGGCTTTATGTTTGCCTACATCAAAGCACTGAACTGAATCATTTTACGATGTTGATCAGTGGTTTGTTTTGTTTATATATGCTGAGAGAAACAAATGTAAGGGGAACTTAATCTCGCAGGTCGATATTTGTCCCTTTAACGGTACTCACACACCCCCCGTCCCTACACACACTCTCTTCTCTCTCTCACCACAACACCACAGATGAGCTCTGCGGGTCATATCGTATCTTCACTCAGCCGTCTGCAGGCACTCAGAGAGCTGCTTTGGTTTTGCCCGCATGAACAAAGTAGAAACATTAAGGGAGGGAGGGTCATACATAAAATAA